TTTGACTGAAACCCAGGAAAGATAGGAATATCATAATTAGCATAAAAATTAGAAGACTTTGAAGTTTACCATAAAGTCCGATGTGCACCTTTTTTTTGAACTCGTGTATAACATTATGTAAAACATTTCTATTAGAAAACACCAATTACGAATTTGTCTCAAATGATTCCCATGAAAAGCCCGACAAWACGACCAATTATTTTAAGCAAAATGGGAATTATCGATACTGACCAAATGGCGAGTAATCTTCACAAGTTTATCATATTATTTCCATATACAGAGTGTTGCGTGATCGATAGCCATATCTTACGCGCGTGTTCCTTAGTTAGTTTAAGGCGAAAAAAACCCTGAAGATGCAAGTCACTYGTGCTTGCGCCCCCTAAAAACCCACTAGTTTGATCAGTTTAAGTCGAAACACAGTTTTCTTCGAAGCGCAATTGTTAAGGAGTTCGGGGCAATGTCTTGTAGGCCGTATAATTTGCCTGGATGAAGAGGATGCGATTCTTAAAATGATCCTCTACCAGCCTACGATTAATATTTAATCCTGTTCATATTATTCGAATGAAAGTGTGGATTACTATTGTTATTAATAAATCGCTTTTCTAATTTCAGTTTACTTTGTTGATTGATTGGAGTGTCTTTAAGGTCCCACTTTCGCTTCATTTGTCATTGTTTTTCCTCCTACTTTGTATTTGGGATATCTTTTGGCTGGCGTTCATCATCCTGCATGGGGATTCTGATATTACTCAGAACTCAGTTCATTTATGATTTTATTCATCTTCTTAAATGTATGTTTGTTTTCGGTCGTTGGTCCAACATCCTGAGTTAGTTCGTTTGTTCTTGCCTTGAATTAGAAAAATTATTTCCGCTCTTCTGAACACTTCTTTTCCTTCCTTAAGTTATCCCACTTTATTTCTAAAGCTGTCGTATTATGTMTTTTTTGCAGGGATCTAAAGTAGTAGAATCCCTACTTAACGTAGTTTTATGGAAAAATATTTTTAGCGAAATTTTAATTTGGAAAGTTTATTTTAYWTAATTCGCCACAAAGCTTGACTCATTGACCAAAGCCGAATTCCATGATACCAACCGAACTATCTACTTGCAATAATGATGTTTAGCCACATTAAATTAAGAATTTTGATATTGAGCCTAATTAGATACTTTTACAGATATTATTTGGTTCGAGCCAAACGATGTTTCAGATAAATGTTGTCCTTTACGTAAATCCTTTACATGACAATGTACACACATTTACCTTAACTTTTCACTCATTCTTACTGACAGAGGAGTTGTGTTTAGTAAAATACATAATACACTTTTCTCATTAATTGCTTATGCATAATTAGTAGTTGAATACGTTCTATCTTAGACAAACTAATTTTCTTTCAAAATTATATTTACAAATAAAAATCCTCAAATCAATCTCCTCAATCAACCTCAATGGCCGCGAAAGTTTGACTCTGTTGATAAATAAAAAATAACGTAAAATATATAAAAAAAAATAATAAAAATAAGCTTCAAAACAGTTTTGCGTTGTATGGTTTAGTTTGAATTTATCTTCTAGTCTGGACGAATTTTTCATATACGACAAATTTGTTTTGGTAGTTATTTTGTATTGGTTTCTTTATCCTCGCAATAATGATTTTCCTGCCTAGTGTTATTGCTATGTACCTAACACACTATTTTTCACCTTAATTTAAATTCCTAACTGTTGGATTGGCAAAGGAGGTTCAGTTATCTGGCCTCCGAGGCGACCAAACCTAACACCTTCCGACCGTTACGTTTTGGGGATACAAGATTTCAGCTTATTCCTCATGCTTTCTTCTAACGCATTTGCCCATAACTCCTTAACAATTGAATGTAGACAAAAAATTTTAAGACATTTTTCCCTTAAAATTGGCCAAAGAATACGGTTTTGAGAATGCAATGTCCATTGAGTCTCGGCGTAATTAACAAAGGGCAAAGCCCTCTCCTTTAAAAGAGTAATATTTATGCAAAGCTATTCACCAAAAATTGAACATTATTTGATAATGATCTGTTTAACAAAACACCTTAATAAATAAGTCCACTATTCCGCTAGATTTGGAAGCAAATATTCAATTTCTGCAAAGCATTATAATATTTATGATAATGAAAACACCATTTTTCAATATGAAACAGTTGTTCACATCAAAGGAAAAATTAAACAGACATTGAAACACACCATTTTTAATAAAAATAATAAAGTACATAAATGCTTCAAAAGAATTCAAATAGTTCGTTATCTTATATTATATGATTCAATATTATAAAATCAAACACTAATTATAAACTTAACTCAGTTTAAGTAACAAAGAGTAATATTTATTAAAAATACGCTTTTAAAATTACGGTTTGTGATAGAAGCATTCAAAATGCGGAAACAATGTTTGTTAGTTTTTGCCCAGCAAAAATAAGAAGCTCCCACTTTCGAATTGAGATTAGTGATTATGGTTTTTCCCGTGATAACGTTCACTACCCGTATCTAGTTTATCGACCTAGGTGTCAAATCGCTTTTTCTGCTAAAAGTAACTATTAGCATACACACTACTATGTAAAAGTAGAATATACCTTGAGAAATAAAATTACTTGCAATTTGATGAAATATCGACTTCTTTAAACGCAATTTATGAGATGAACTGTAAAATTAATCGGTTTCTCGATGATATAAAACACAAATTTAACAGTGCTTGCTTGAACTTTTTGCTAAGCAAATTGAAATAAATACACTTGCGACAAGCTAGAATATTGAATGGCTGTGAGCATTCAGATTGTTTTTATAGAATAGTTGGCACAAAAGTACAACAGGAGAATAAAGAATTATTAGAACTCAATATGCGATCATACGATTTGACCATTTAATTTGAAAATCTGTCTAAGAAAAATTTGTTATTTTCACAATGGAAAAATTGTATTATAAAATATTCAGGCAAGAAAATATGATCTGCATAATGTGATATTGTATAAAGTATATCAATAAATATTTGCCTATTCATTAGATATTTAGGTAATTAATGAGCAACGATTTTACGAAAAATTGACATAATGTATGCAAAAATATTTAAATGCCGAGCATTTTCTTACACGGAGTACATACTATGTTTCTAAATTCGAAACGCTTTCGTTCTGTTTGACAGAAGAAAAACCTACTAATATGATGTATATTTTTAAAAAACTATCTAACAAAAGGTTCAGCTTTAACATATAGAAATCGATATAATATAATAAGAGTTGTATAATATAATGTATATATCAAAAAACATCCGCAACCTTTTATATAATAACAAATTGAAAGGCAATTTTATAGTGTTGTGTCAAGTCAATGTGAAGAGCTGGGAAATGATTATAAAATGACCATTTTTAACTCATGTTGCAGAATAGGTAATATACAATTGAAGTTACTTGCACATTGCTTGAACACTTTTAAAATAGTTCCACAAGTCCTCAAAAAGCCACAAACCAAAACAGATATGCTGGCTTGCTCGAAGCATTTTTTTCTCATTTAGTGAGTGCACGTAATCATTTTGATATGTAACAATTTTTGGACTGCTATACGACTTGTTCCGACAACAATAGTTTAAATAAATCTCTCAAAGTAGAGACGTAATCTGGTTTGGTTTTGTCTTTGGTTTCATCTGAACAAGCCTGGGGAACATTGCAGAAATATATTTTACAAAAATAGGGGCCTAAAACTGATAATGAAGTTTCTTTTAAGTAGATTAAAACATAGTATTGCACAAAACAGGTTGCTTATAGCACCAACGCTTCCTAACATATCACATTCCTTTTCAAGGTTTATTTACCATTTAAAAATCGCCAATAGGGTATAGATAATTTCGATAATTATAGTAACGTTATAAAATATATATTATTAATGAAAATTATTCTAAATTGACTTGTTTCACATATTATAGAATTGCTGTTAATTACAATATTCCCTTTTATACATATACGGATTTTCAATGGGAACCTATTTGCATGTAACACCCACATTTATATTAACATTCCTTGATTAATAATATGCTTTTGACAATAAATACATTGCAAATTCACTTTAAAGCAAGTAATCAATAAGTAGTCATTTTAAGGGAATATTATACTTTGCTGCTAAATTAAATTATCTTTTCCAATTTCGGATGATAAAAAACAAATTTGACTGATATTAATGTGTTTTAGCGTTATAAAACGAATGTTAAGATTAAAATTGAGCGTTTCAAGCAAATAACACGGATGTACAATATGTTACAATTTACTTCCTCGAAGTAGTTGAATAAAATTATTTATCTAAAAGGCCGCCAATAGTCACACACGATTTGCTTTGGGTTTAGCTGTATTACACTTGGAGGCACTGACCAATACAGTTCAAATCTGCGTGCTAAAAGTCGAATACGGTTTAACCTCCAGAAGAAATATCTTTTCTAATCCAAAGCAAATTTTCTCTAAAATTTCATTCGCAGTTCAATTTTTTAGAAGGGAAAATGCCTCCTAATAAAATTGCTCTTGAATCTAAATCTTAGCCAATGTCGCGAATTTAAAATTAATTTAAATCGAGATTTCTTACCCTAGTAGTAGTAATAGTAATTAGTAGTTCTTAACGTATATCAGATGCTAAACAGGTGAGGTAATGGTTAATAAAGATAATGTAAAATTGCACTTACATTAACATAACAAATAGTTAGTTTGGCGAACTCTTTTTTAGATAATTTTACAAACAATCATTAAAATAATTATTGCAATAGTGTCCAAACTATATTGGAAAATGGAATTTATTAGGACTTTTGAATAAAGAAGAAGATATTATGTGCTAATATCGATATTGAGTATTAAAAACTGAATTAAATACAAAGTAATATTTCGGTTGTGAATCAAAAAGTTGGATATCAGCATTACTATCGACAATTTAATTAAATTTCACTTCGACATAAAGAAGGAATTTATAGCAAATTTACATTACATCTTATCTAAAATGCTTCGTAGTTCACTTTATGCGGACGGGCATATACATATTTCAAACGTCCAAGGAACAGAACGAAATGCATTTAAAAAACTTAGTTTTAATTTTACTTATTATATGCATTTCATTCCATTCTATGGGCGTCTTTAGCTAATTTTAAAATCTTTACAAAAAACTTAGTTTCGTTTTAAACGTCCGAATAGTCATCACAGATTCAACTTTTATATAATATAAAACTTCTTAAAACATCCCGTATTGTTATATCTATATTACACGTTATTTTATAACATAATATATTATATTAATTTATCATAATTTTCAAGAATTCAAGCTGATTATATACCTATTTAATATTTTTATTGCTAAAAATCGAGGCGGAGAACTTAAAGTAGCGTTCTTCAGAAAGAACCAACAGTTTCGTTAATGTTTTGGAGGTCGAACAATTTTTCATTCTCACTGTAAATGAGTAAAAGCACGCAGTCCCTTGTTGCCGAAAACAAAGCTATAAAATTCATCGGTTTGCAAAATACATAATGAAACAAACAAGAGTAACAGTAATATAATGATTGTATAGACTAGAATAGAGTAGGTTCTTATTGCAATATCGGAGATTTTTTTAATATTATATCTATTATACCAGTTATGTGTATAGCATAAATAAATTTATATAGTTTTTGTTTTAGCTATAAAATGTAATATAATATGCTTGGGATGCGGAATGGTTCGTTGAAGATGTTCGAAAATTCATTTCAATTTGCTTGCGATGTTTGGAACAGTGGATAATCATTTTTTTGCCCCTTGATTGAGGCCCCAACTAAGAACCGAGAGCCAATGGCGCCTAGTTGGTTTATCGTGGCAAACAGGCAAAAAAACCAGCAGTAAAATGTGAGAATAGAAAAACCAGTTTTGAATTCGAGGATTAAAAAATAGTGGAGATGAATTAATGAGCAGCTTCAATGCAAACCAAACGCACCCATACAAAACGATCAAAACTCAACCGTTGAAATATGTATACAGGGTGTCCTAACAAGACCCGCTTTGATCCATTTATGTAAAATTGTAAATAGTACCATTTGGAAAATTGAAGAGTATACTTTAGGAGCAAGCGATCTAATCACATTTTCGGTTCTACCGCCAGTAGCCATCATCTAGCTTACTTTAAATGGAACATCGGGAAAATTCTAAATGTTTTTAATGTGTCGGTTTCTGTACCAAAGTGTAACGATTTTTGAGATATTAAAAATTTTATGTGTGAAATGGCCGTTGTTGGACTCGGATAATTATTTTCTCGTACAAGGAAGTACAGCAGATTTTTGGGTATGCCACGAGTGAGAAGTTTTTGCCTATACGAGTGCTAATTTGTCGAATAGCCACCTGATCGTATTTCATTTTTATCATACTTTAATTGGGCTTTGGTGATAATTTTAGGTCAATTAAGAAACGTTTTGTTTCCGATATAATGTCAATTTGATCATTGTTATAAGGCAATGTAGATGCTCTTAGTTGGCCATGACATGGTGTCATATATGACAGATATGATGACAGAAAAAAATTGACGGCTACAAGAATATTGACAGCTGTCACACACCGTCTGAAAATCATTAGAAATTATGTCTGGGTGAAATTAAGAAATAATATAACATAGGAATCGAAAAAAATCTTTTAGCTTGTTTGTTCTAAAGTTAAAGCTAAGTCTAAATATTTCAGTTTTAAAAAAAAAAATCTATCTACATTAAACCGCATTATTGACATACATTTTAAATATCTCCAAAATAGTTAGTCTTAAGTTCGGATATTACTCATGAAAGTATCTAGAACTTCTAGTGAATATCAAAAGTGAAACAATATACAGTGTTGCAACTAAAATAAGCAATCTTGAATATATTTTAGGTCGCTTGCCCTCAGTGATTTTAGCACACTGCCCAAACTACAGTTTGCCATAAATGAACCCCGGCGGTGCCCGTTGCTCCACCCTGTATATTAGTACATGAGATACAATAACATAGAGCTGGAGGTTAGCGTAAGTAGTACGGATTACAGTTTCTTCATACGCTTTCCGATCTCCTGGTCTAGAATAATAACCATTCGTTTTCCGATAGGCGGTGAAATAAAACCCGATTACTTTGCATGCTTTGCGGAAATTATTTGTTGCTGTTTGGCTTAGGGTGGGTGAGGCGATGACTTTAATATACCATTAATCTCGGATTTTGAATAATAAATGCATAATGATTAATAGTGTCCCTTGGCGAGCTGTGCCTTTAATTACAATGAAGGTTTTTGGAAACAATGGGGGGATGAAGTAGCGTGACGATGTTATAAAACGTTCCGACTATATAGGAATAACGTAATGCTACGTTGAGGGGTGTTTTTATGTTAGTTACTAGTGACGGGGACTGAAAAAAATGGCTATTATTCAAGAAAAAAACGATTAGGGGATGGAAAAGTAGTTTAAACTGTAACCATGTTTAACCGGCCAGCCCGACTACTACCGCTAAGAATCGCACAAAGCCCGATAGTAAAAATAGTAGTACAGCCAAAATCAGTCGGCCGAAGCATCGTTAGCCAACTGCCCACCAGAGGGGGCAGTGGGTGGTACTGTTGCTTCGTATTTTGGACTGGTATCGAACTTCCTGGTATCCGGATTATACCGGGGGTGTTTAAATTTGCAGTGAGTGCGCAGGTTGTCGCTCCTAGTGTAGGTGGCTCTGCATAAGGGGCACTCGAATCTGCCGGGGAAGTGCACATGATAGTGGTTTCTGATGTGCGTCACTATTTTCCCACAAAGTTTGCAGCGATGCAGGTTACAACCGCCTGGCAACTTGTCAAAGGTTAGCCGCATGTGCCAGGTTTTTGAACCTGCAAGCAAAAAACGACTGGTCAGTACGGCCTTTTTTAAACCTTGGACAACCAATGGTGTGATCTAAAGCCCCTTAATCTACATGGCCCGCCCCCTGAGTTCAATTTAGTACTGTATTGTAGTGAACTTGGCTAATCGATGTTACTAGACATTTTTGTCTATTGGAAAACTTGAATGTTGTTATTAATCTTTGGCAATTCAAAACTCTTCTTTTGAGACTGCAACCCACCATGTGTATTTATTTAGTTTAAAGCTACTCTTCGTTAACTCTTTGAGTTTAAGAAAGTTAATGGAGAAAAGCAGCACATGTGCACGTAGTGAGCAACTAAGAAAGATCGCCCGTTGTGTATCGGAAAATATTGCCAACAAAAAATATTTTTTTATTTACATTGAATTTATATTGAATATTATATTTGTTTCTTTAATAAATACCGATTTATTTTCCTGACTGCGTAAAATTGTTATTATATTCTTATCTTTCCTGAGTCTCAGTCAAAGTGTGAAGTAAACAATTTGAATATCGGTTTATTTCATTACATTTCGGCGAGACAACAGCGCCATCATCAGATTTAAAATTTACACAAACTCATAATTGGTAAACATTAACGTTCTTTTAGGTCTTTGCATTCTTGAAACCTTAAGTTTGAATTATTGACATGATGGCGCTGTTGTCTCGCCGAAACGTAATGAAATAAACGATATTCAACATTTTCACTTCACACTTGGACTGATACCCAGGAAAGATAAGAATATAATTTAATAAATACTAGGAGGAGAATAAAAAAAATACCAATTTTTTCATCAGGAAAAGCAAAATTCAGGTATTGTAAAAATTGATTGAGTTTTTGAGAGGTTGCGTATTTTATGATTACCATTTTTTACACTAGTTCTTCCAAGTTAAGTAAGGAAGTGAAAGACGATTATTTCGTCAATTAAATTTGGTTTCGTTTGAAAGAGCTTTTTTCTTACACCCGATTGCTTCAAAATGACGAATGTTTGGTTTAGTCAGCGGCGGCGAAAGGACGGAAAATTTAAACAAAACTACATCTTTTGTAAGAGGGGATCAAAAATAGATACGGACAGCAAAAACCACTCTTCAATATCTCCATTCGACTAAATTGTAAAATACACATTAATTTACGTCGTGAACATAATCAGTTTATTTCAAATATTGGACGACTATATAAAGAAACGTTTAATAGCGAATGTGAAGTGAAATTTCATAAAATTCGTAAGAACTGTTACCATCAATGGTAGAAGACGTGTTCTTGACCACGAGACACAATATGCTTTCCAACACGATGAATGCCCATAATGATTGGAAAAATCGAATTAAATCATTCGGGTTATTCGATTATGAAAAGAATAAAATTCATTCGATCAGCTTTTAATAAGTATTTCAAGTTGCCAGAAACTCGGGTGACGAGGAAAATTGAAAGAAAAAACAAGCAAAATTTTACTGCTGAAAAAGGAAGTTATAGTGGATTTAACTGATACCAACGCAAACGCATTGGATTCGTGCGTATATTTAACTATTTAGTCGGTTAAAAAAGGGATATTGAAGAGTGGTTTCCATTGTCAGTTTATTTCCGAAGCAAAACAGCGACAGAAACAAAGATCCGTATATTGTTAGTGCTTAGGCTTATTAACATGTGTGTTTAGATATTTTTCCTCCATTTCTCTGTTTGACTATATTAGAGAAAATAATACGCCCTAAAGACAAAATACGCAAAATTTCCAAGATGAAAATGCGTTATTGAAACTTATTGTTTGCATTGCTTTCCTCAGCAGGATTTCCAGCAGTATCTTGCAAAAATTGTGTTTTCCATGATTAGAATATTACGTTTTTTTTTCATATAAGATACAGCCGACAACGATCTCTCTTAGTAGCTCACCGGGTATTTTTAGAGCTGCATGAAAATCTTCGCAAACTTTATGTGCGATGAAATTTTGAAAACAAATCTGAACTGATTACTTGAGTTGTTAATAAAAGAGTTTCTGGCTCTAGCTTGACAAGCGGTTCTCCAATATTCTGCTTCTTCGAACTCACTCAATTTAATCAGTTCGAAAAGAGAAGTAGACTGAATTTTATTGATGATTTAATCATTCATATATCATTTAATGATCTTTAGCTTTTATTTCTATGTTGATCGAATATTTAAAAAAATATAGAAAAATGCAAATTAGTATACAAAGCGCCCGGAAATTAGTGTGCAATTCTTTGACTATATATTCTTTATGTTAAGCTATGAGTGCCTTAAGTTGGCTCTAAATTTGTCGCTACTTTGTACATCGGGGTATCGTATGATTCAATTTCTTGCTCTTTCAGGCCTAAGCAATACTTTAACACATGTATGTGAAAAGCTTAGCATTTTAATTGCTTAATGTAAGGAGACACGTTCTAAAACAGGTTAAAAAATATGCAGAGTCAAAGTATTGCACAATAATTTTCGGACACCCTGTTTTATAGAAATATATAGGCAAGTAATACGAAACCAAAAGAAACAGAGTTGTCACATAAGAGATAAAAAAAATGATTTATAAAGTATAACAAATTTCAAAAAATTTGTTTCATGCAGCTCTTTATTTAATCTTCCAGACTTAAAAAATAGGGCTAAAAGTGCTTATCGAAAAGTCAACCTGAGATGTAGAAATTGATAAGATCTTTTTAAGACGATTTTACAGGGTTTTAAACAGATTCCAATTTCATTTTTATAAATGTGTTTTTTTCGAAAGTAGCAAGATGAACTCTAAATATACATGTGCATTAATGTTTTAGTTTTAGTAGTTTGTAGCATCAAAACATTAATATAAATCTGAATGTCAGTTGATCTAGTTGACATGCTGAATTTTAAAACCTACTAGAATCAGATGCATGTTATTAATGCGAAGCAAAACGCATAATCATGTATAATTTTCACGTCCCCTTAGCACTTATTTAGCCTTATTTTTATCTTTTTAACTCTGTACAGCTGCACTTATTAACTGGGGGATTTTGATTCACTTCTAAGGCACAATTTGGTGATTTTATTTGAGAGCGTCGAATCGACTGAGGGTTTAGTTTGTACAGTTTTCCACTAATACATCGTTTGTAGCAGTTTTTTGGATTTTAGAGAACTTGAGAAAATTTAAATAGGATGGATTAATAGGTGAAGGCACAGAAAAAATCTTTTGCCAACGTTTCAATTTAATGTTAACCATCATCAAAGCTGGGCAAACAACAAAAAAGTTCATAGAAGCATTCAGCTAAATGCGCCTGTTAAATAATGTTTTGTTGTAGGTTTCTTACGTTTACATAATCGTTGACATGAATTATTTATAATGGCATTTTTTAAATCGACTAAATAGTTGTTCGAATAACACCTAAATCCAGTTAAAAAAAATCAACTCTGCTGCTGAAATTCAGTTGAAGCATTGCACGATAAATATTTTTTTATATTTAACAAACTTAAAATGATTAACTAAAACAACTGAGTGTGATTTATTTTGACATTAAATCGATGACTGATGAGATATAAATAAAGATAGTATCATAAAAATTACAAAATCAAAATCAATTCTAACATTTATAAACTCAAGAATAGGACGGTGTTTTACCTCATTTTCTTCGTCGCTAAAAACTAAATAAAATATTGCCATTTTTTCACTTACAGAGCGTTGATGATGGTTTACGTTAAACCAAAAGGTAGTCTCTTTGACCGTCTTCATTAATCCAGCCAAAGTATTTTTTATATAATTTTCAACTTAGAACATAAAAAATTAAAACCATTTTTTTTTCGAATTATTGGCTATTGCATACCATTAGTATTTGAGGTAAACTGTAGGCGTTTCCATAAGCATGGTATTGAAGAGTTAAAAACATATATATTGCCATTATTGAACTACCCAAAATAGCGAAGGAAATAGTTTCGAAAGAACCCATTATCTTACAAAAGGGCTGTCTGGTAGTCCTAAACCATACAAAACCCCAGATTACCATTGATTGTCCAACGTTTGATCGTTTTTAGCTGATGTAATAATTCGAATTAAGTAAGTAATTTAATATTTGGATTGTGTGTGTGTATTCGAAGGGTCGGTTCCAGGGCAAACTGGTTAATTATTAAATGAAAATGTCCACATAGTTACATTAATAGGAATTATTACATCAAAAGCCTATTTTTCGTAAGTTTCACTTGCAACGTCGAATATTGAAAAAGTCGGCTCAATTTTGCCAAGCCGGTTGCAAAATGGCACTTTTCCTTATCTTGGCTTTGTATAAGAAAAAAGTGACACATTTGAATGTTTCCCGTGGCTCGCAGATCTTCTATTACGTAAAAGGGGGTGTTAGAGCGCCAAATAATTGAACAAGTCTCACAATCCCCGTTTTCATGCAATTTACCGATCTGCTGCCAATAAGAGCCTAAACTGCCAAAGAACAATACTGTTATTTAAAAGAAAACCTTCTTTAATCAATGCTGGAATTGGTTTTTGTAATTGCAACAAAAAAATTCCCATTGCTTATGAAACGTTTTTTTTTTGGCTCTAAACAATAACATCTTTTGGCGTGCCTAGTTGCTCTTGCTCGTAAATGACGACTAAAAATACTCAAAATGTGAGTAATTTGTTGGTTAATGATTAGGTAATTAATAAAAATAGTGACAGTATAGCAAAATAGTGACAGAGTGCACCCCACAGCAGAAGAGAAAAATGTGTGAATGTAAATAAGAACGAAAAACCTGCTCACTCATTAGATTTGATTATTAGTCTCCTATATTAAACCTCGGGGGGTTCAAAGCATATAATCGAACATGATTTTATATACTCCAAACTGCCCCTTTAACGATCATAGTCATTATTTCCGTATTTACACAGTGCCATTAATAAAAAAATGCGTCTTTGTGGCAACATGAATACAGAAGCCTCAGTGGAACATACCTCGAGTTTTTGGTTCTTGTCTAAACGATTTTTATGAGCCTTATTTGGGCAGATGTATCACTAAATACCAAGCGATGAAAAGCTG